AGGGAAGAGGGCCAGGACAGCTGTCGGCGAGCTCCAGGCGGACATCCAGCTGAACTTTCTGGCTCCCGGCGGCCCCGTTCCTGGCCTGGTGCCTCCAGGAGCAGCCCGGGCCGCTCTGCTCAGGGGAACTCACACTTCCCCTGTTGGCCTGAGTGCAAAGAGCTCCAGCTTCCACTCACCTCTCTTCCCCAGCCGTCTGCCTCCAGCTCTGGGAGTTGCAAAGTTCGTCTGGACTCTAACCCAGATCCTGCCCGCGGCCTTCAACCCGGTCTTTCTTGTTCCGTCCTCGGCGGAGGCAGAACACAGCCATCACCACCACCCCAGGACCTGCCTCGGCCATTCCCTTCCTGCTCGTCTCTGTACAGCCTTAGGCAAGGTCCCAGGGCCTCAGTTTCCCCTGGTGGGAGGAGGCGTATGAGTCAGGTAGAAGGAAGACCCCAGAGGACAGTTCAAATCCTGACGTTGCCTCTGCTGGCTGTGGCACCTTGGGCAGAACCCTCCATTCTCTGTGCCTGGGTTTCCCCACCTGTAAAACAGAGCTGGCACTGACCTATGCAGGGAAGGGGTATTGTGAAGATGGTGGGTACTGTGAACCGGACCCCGTGTCTGGCATGGTGAGTGTTCAGGGTTCCACAGAGCCTCTCACTTCTAAGCTCCCTAGACCTGCTGGGTGCAGGGACAGTCACAGCAGCAGCCCCCTCTCCATCAGCAGAGAAACGGGGTGGAGGGTAAAGGAAACATCAGGGCCCCAACAATTTTGCTGGAAAGTGAGCATTATGGGAAGGGGGGATGGGCAAGGGATGTGGTAGAAAGGCCTTCCCGGCCAGAGGGCACAGCTCGTGGGGGAGAGGCTGGGCAGGGGCAGGGGGTGGTGTGGAGCTCCACGGGGAGCTCTGGGAAGGGCTGGCTTGCCGGCAGGGCAGGGGGATCTGCGTGGAGGCAGGGTGGGGACGGGCTTAGGAGATGAGACAGAGGATTAGGAAGGACTCTGAAGGCCCCACCAAGGAGCAACCTGTGAGACCTGTGAGCTCTGACCTGCGGGGGGCCGGGGGCACAGGTGGGAGGGGTCCTGGTGCTAAAGCCCAGCTTGTGAGCCAAGTGTGGGCAGGGGCACCCTCCACACACAGAAAGAGAGAGGTGGGCTGGACCAGGCACCACTTGCTTCCCTACACCCATTCTGGAGAGGAAAACTGAGGCCCGGAGTTATGCAAGCACCCACCCAAAGCATTTTCCTATCTGTTAGGCTGTCTCAGCCAGGGATTGCCCCTGAGAATAGGCTGCCACTCAGGGCAGGAGAGCCGAGGGAAGAGCCAGAGCCCCGGGAGATCAAGGCCAGGCATGAGCCGCCACTGTTCCCGGGGCCCAACCTCCAGCACCACAGAACAAGCGAATGAGCGAGGAATGAATGAATGCCTCATAGTCTGCCCACATCTGGCACCTGGTGGCCGCCTCTTGGAGCACGGTGGGAAGGCAAGTCTGGGGAAGGAACACCCCTGGGCCATCGTGAAGAGGGAGTCAGGCACCTGGCATGCCCAGCTAAGAGCAGGGCGCCTGGAGCCCAGGAGGCAGGGGCGCCATGCGGAGGGGAACTAGCCCCTGCGGAGGATGGAGGCTGTCTGGGGACGCTCCTGAAACTGTAGCCTCAGAGGCGGAGCCCGGGGCTGGGGGTCAGGTAGGCCTTCAGGCAGGCTGGGCGGTGTGAGCTCCACACCTCAGGCAGGGCCCCTCGGAGGATGTGCCAGGTGGCCCTGGGAGGCTGGGGCTGGGGTTGAACCATGGCCAAGAAGTAAGTACAGTCTGGGCACCGTGGCTGGGGCATTCTCGAAGCTCTTTCCTCATTCCTGGCCCTGTGGGAGTAGCCGGACCCCGGCTGCAGCCACCACCGCGGATTTGCTTACCGTCTCGCAGGGAACCGGGGCCTCCTGCCAAACTGCCCGGCCCAGGCGCAGGCCCCACGGGCCCCACTAACCACCAAGTGCTGGCCCGGGCCACCTCCTGCTCTCAGATGGGGAAACTGAGGCTATAGATTGGGCAGGGCCACCCTAGAGGTTACCCATGCCTGGCTGTCAGAAGGGTTGGGCTTGGGCTCCAAGTCCAGAGTTTTCTACATCCGTCTCCCTGTTTCCACACCCTCCAGGGACATGTCCTCCTTCAGAACCCCACCGGGTGGCTCCTCCGCTGGGGTCTGGGTCTGGGGCCAGGCTCCGTGGGTGCCCCGGCGGGCACAGTGTGGACGGGGCCTTGTTTGATCAGCGGTTCCGCCCGATGCCAGGCTGCCGGGACAGCGGGCAGTGGCCAAACCGGCCCCACCACATGCCTTCCAGCCCTCAGCAGGAATGCCATTCATCCTTCTGTGCTTACACGGCCACCGCGAGTGCGGGGGCCCGGCGGCACCCAGGCTTCCAAGGAGAAGCAGCAAGGCCTGGTGGCCAGTCAGGGGCTGCTGGGCTCCCAGGGGCCTTGGGCCGTCTTCCCAAGCCTGGAAGGGACTAGAAGCACCCAAGGGGGCACCTGAGCAAAAATCCACCAGACACAACGGATAGACCCATAGGGATCCCGAGACCAATTGGGGTCCAAAGCAGAAAGAGACAGATGGATGGAACCAGGCCTCCTGGCTGTCGGTCCTCTACCCTTAAGCCCCCCTTTCTCTTAAGAACAGCCCTCACCCAGCCCCATGAGTTGGCTCTGGCACCAGACCTGTGGCCTCCTGTTCCTATACCCTGAGCCCGGGCTGTCCAGCAACCCAGCATCTGTTTCCAGCCACACCGGTGGCCCCTACTGGGTGCGGTGGCCCCCAAAGGTGCCTGAAGGCTTGTATGACTCAAGGCCTCCCCTGGAACCTGGGCAATGTGTGAGGACAGAGGTGCATGGGCACAGTGCCTACTCAGCCTGCACAGAGGGGAAAGGAAGTCAGAAAGGTGAGGCCCCTGAGGGCCAAGGGGGCTTGAGCCTCAGGGTCCCCCATGGACAGCACTTTCGTCCCCACCCCCAGCGGAGAGAGCTGCAAGGGCGTCGCATGGGCTCCACACACACTCACTTCTGATTCCAGCTTTATTGGGACCGGACGCTCCCCTCCGGGGAAGGCAGGACACAGCCCATCCGAAACCCACCAGCTCTCTTCAAGTGGGAGGGCCTTGGGGACACGCAGTGCCCCGACCGCCCCCGCCCCACCAAGGCCACACTGACCCCCTTTCACTTGAGGGAGGGGCTGCCGCTGACAGGCTCTTGAGGAGGGTTTCAGCAGAGGCGCCTGGATAATACGTGTGACTTGATGGCATCCGGGGCCCCAAGAGTCCATTTCAAGCAGAAGGAGGAGCCTGGCTCGGGGCACTGCATGAGGCTGTCCCCTCCCTCCAGTACCCAGTGTAGGTCATAATAATTTAAAAGACACGATAGACATTTTGACGCTATATAACAATATAAGTTAACCGGGCCTGTGGACTCGGAGGAGTGTCCTGGGACCCGGAGAGGAGGGGGACCGGGGCAGGGCGTTCACCGTGGCCTGGAGGTGCCGGGAACAGCAGCTGATGGAGAGTCCTGGCGTCACCACGGGGTAGATGCCAGGGCCAGGGCCCAGAGAGTGTCACTCACCCCAGGCTAATGTCAGGCCCACTTGGCTTGTCAGCTGCCTGAGGACACATTTCCACAGGTTTCTGCATGAAAATACCCTAAATTGGGGGCGGGGGGGGGCGGACACACGAGCAGCGGAGGGCAACACACCAGAAGCCAGCCACACACCACCCTTGCCGGCAAGCCACTCCCCGAGGGAGGGTGGACGTGTTCGCAGAGGACACGTCAGCCCCGAGTCCCGGGGTTCTGGTCTCTGCCCGCACATGAGACCTGAGCAGGGCCCCCTCTCAAGTTTGAGGGTGAGTTGAACTTCAGGGGAGGGTGTGCAGGTAGGTACCCTGGGGGAGGGGTCTGGAGGGCAGACACCTGCCGGGACAGCCGGATAGCAGGCTGGCTCTGAGCTTTCTCAGCATTGGAGTCAGGGCCCAAGGAGTAGGACTGGACACAGAGGCCATAGAGAAGCTCCAGCAGGCATCTCTGGGGGTACAGGTCCCTGTGCGGCTGGCAGCAGGGAAGGAGGAGTACAGCCAGATTTCTCAAAACATGGGGGCAGTCTCAAGCCACCCTGGGTGTCCCTAGAGCATGTTGCCCAGGGTTAGGATGCCTGAGCCAAGGCAGGAGACTCCGCTCATCACTTCAGGGTCTCTGGTTCATTCTCGAGCCCTTCAGGGACTCGGTGTCTGCATCTGTCAAAGAAGGCAGACACCCCTGAACCGCCCCCCACCCCGCCAGGCCACCGCCAGCCAGCGCAGGGCTGTCCAAGGCTTCGGGCTGGCTCTGGGCGGGAGTGGGCTCTGTAAACTGAGGCTGCCGGGCTGGCGGGGGCATTGGGTGGGGGACACAGCATTAGGGAGGGACGCAGCAGTCCTGGAGCCTGACGTGGGTGACATTTTGATTTGTGTGATACGATCTTCAAGAAGGGCCCCTGTCCGTGGCTCTCCTCAGAGGCCCTCTCGGGGCAGGGCCAGAGGGTGCTGTGCACAGAGGATGCTCCCTCGGGTCCAGAGACGGGGGAGCAAGCGGGGCCCCAGGGGCTGCGCTCACACGGGGTACAGTTAGGACTGGCTATGCCTTAGTGCTACTCTTCTCTGATACTAACGACACATAAATAAACTTGGTCAACATCTGCCCGGGCCACCCCGAGGCCCCGGGCAGCGGGGGCGGCCAGGGGTACGGTCCCGCGTGGGGTCCCGCGTGGCGTCGGCCGGCCCGCATGGCATTTCCACGTCGTCCGTGCCACCAGGCGGGGGAGGAGACGCTCGAGTCCCGGAGGGTTCGCTTCCCCAGAGAAAAGTAGGAACTCCCCAGGCCCCAGAGGGACACCTCTCGGCTGGTCCGGGACAGGGCTCGGCCACAGGAAGTGACCAGCGGGGCGGAAAGGAGCCCCCCGCAGTGCGGGGCGTCCGGGGCGCGCGCGGAGCGGTGTGCGCATGCGTGCCGGCGGGGCGCTCACTTGCAGGTGAAGACCTCGGTGCGCTCGCTGCACGTGTTGCACTTGACGAAGCAGCACCAGTGGAACTTGCAGTTGCACTGCCACACCTTGGTGTACTGGTGCGTGTTGTAGCCGCGGCCGCAGCACATGGTGTCGCAGCCGTCCGCGCCGGGCGACGTGCGGTTGCACAGGCGGCCCTGCGTGCCCACGCTGCCCGTGGCCGCGTCCTCCTCGCAGTAGTTGGGCGACTTCTCGATGTACACCAGGTCCGTCTCCATGGGCTTCTGGTAGCTGCGCAGCTGCTTGATGCGCAGGAAGGTGGGCTGCCGCAGGCGGCTGGCCCGCACCACCTCCACCTGCACAGCCGCGTTGTACTTCTCCTTGAGCATGTGGCCCACCTCGCGGAACTTGGGCAGCGTGGTCCAGCACGTCTTGGTGGTGCACGAGCCCGACACGCCGTGGCATTTGCACTCCAGCTTCATGCGCTCCTCCAGGACCTGCGGGCGGCAGGGCTCAGTTGCGTGGCCCCCGGGCCTGGGCTACCCCGCCCCCCCCCCATCCCCACCCCTCCAGGACCTGTGGGCGACAGGGCAGGAGCTCAGTGTGCATGGGTGGCCCTGGCCTGGGCACCCCGCCCCTGCCCTCCCTTGCCTCCAGCCTAGCCGGCTCTGGCACCCCGGACTTCCCGCTGCAGGATCCCGCCTGAGTGCCTCCCCCTCCCAAGCCTCCCTCTTCTCATCCACGTAATGGGGCTGCTGACTGTAGGTCCCCACTGCAGAGGACCTCGTGAGGGTCCAGTGAGAATATTCGGGATGCGACAGAGCTCAGCGTATGTTTATCAAATGTGGTTCACTAAATTCTCACAATCCTTCAGGTCAATGTGCCGATGTGGAAACTGAGGCCCAGCGGTGCGCGGCGCGCGGCTTGCTGCACGTCGCAGGGCAGTACGTGGAGAAGCTGGGGCTTGCGCCCAGCTAGGTGGGGTGCAGGTGCCCCGCGGTGAGCCCCACCCAGCTACAGTAGGTTCTTACGACGTGCCAGTCCCCACCTCTCCTTTCTCTGTACTTCCCGCCCTCCTGCCCAGGGTAGGGCCCGGCATGTAGTTGGTGCTTAATAAAGGACTGTTCAGTGAAAACATGGTATTTGCACGGAGCTCTGTACGTGTCTGCTGAAGGACAGAGTGGGGGGACGAGCGGGGGGTGAGGGCACGGGTCAGTGAGGCCCAGGCGTGCCGCCTGCTGGGAAGCCGGCCCCCGACAGTGTTGTTCTTTCTTCCCAGCTCCCCGAGGGCCCGCGATGGGCGCAGCCGTGTGTTTTCCTTGGGCCTCCCTCCATGGTCCCGGAAGGCCGATTCCCAGAGCCAGCCCTGACCCCAGGTACTCATTTACCTGGATCGAAAGGGCCCTGCCAGCAGACCTGATTAAAGATGCGGAATCATTAGCCACCGGCCCGCGGCTGAAGAAGGACCATTTGTCAGCTGTCTCGGCCCCATGGGCCTCACTTGGGCAGCCCCACCCAGAGGGAACTTGGCCACCCCCTACCTCCTGGGCCAGAACCCCAGCCCTGGCCCAGACGAGGAGACCCACAGGGAATGAATGAATGAATGAATGAATGAGAGGAACATCCCACAGGGCCCGCCACTATCCTGATCACTTTCCCTGTCCTGCTGTCATGGGGCCCTGGTCTCGGGCAAGGACCTCGGGGACCCACAGTCCAGCACGGGGAACGGAAGAAGAAGCCTACGCAAACCATCCAGGGTGGGGGCTCCGGGGGCCGGCCCCTGCCTTGGTAAGGGGCTTCCCGCAGGAGGGGTGCCTGCATGGAGTGTGGATGGAGGAAGACGAGCTGCTAATTTGGGCAGAGAGGACAATGCTCCAGGAGGGGTGGGGGGCAGACAAGGTCCGCGGAGGAGAGCTTCAGCCCACGTAAGCGTCTCGTGGGTGCTGGGTGGCCCCTGAGGATGGTGTCCTGGATGTGAGGGGGTGGGGGTGGGTGGGATTGCCTGGTCCAGCATCCTGTGGATAATGTCCTGTGGGGGAGACCTGGGAGGCTGGGAGGGGAGGCTTATGGGGAGGACTGAGCAGGGGAGGGCCCCACTGTCAAGAGGAAGGAATATTCCAAGCTGGAATTACAGAGCCATGGGGTGTCTGGGTTGAGGCATGGACCAGAAGTCTGCCCTGGGGGTCTATGGAGGGGGAGACCCCCTCCAGGGGATAGCACATCCTGTCTGCCTCCTGCCCCTCTCCCCGCCCTCCTGTCCATCCTTTCCCCTTCCTCACCCATACCCCATGTTCATCTTTGCTTCAACCCTCCCCTCCCCAGAAAGACCCTTCCCCTACCAACCCACCCTTCAAAGCCAGCAAGCTTCTCTTGCCCTGACCACACTGCCTGCCACGTATGACCCTCAGGCCAAGAGCTGACCCGATGGATGGCCTTCTCAGAGTCCCCAGTGCCCTGGGCTGCTGGCCCAGGAGATGCCTCCTCTGACAGGCTGTGATGGCCTGAGACCCGCCAGGGCTGTCCAGGCCAAGTGGCCCAGGCTACCCCCGCCCCCGCCCTGCCCCCATCTCCCTGTCCTCACCAAGGCCAGGCGGCCCCACCCCCACTGCCCGCCCAGGCACATTCAGACCGGGACGGTGGGCAGATGAAGCCGATTGGGCAGCTGTCTGCGAGCGGGGAGCCGCATCCTCGCTTGGCTGGGTCCCCGGACACTGAGCCTGTCCTGGGAAGTGATCACAGGATTCAAGAATGTGCCGTTTCCGTCTCCAGCGCCCTCGAGATAAGAGTGACAGCGATGGTGGCGCCAGCCCTGCTGCCCCAGGAGACCACCTGGGAGGGCGCAGCGTGACCCAACCTCGCCCAGAGAAGTGGGGCCTCGGTTTCCCCCGACCCAGGCGTGTCGGGGGTGGAACTGGGGCCTCCAGGAAAAGGCCAACCTGGTGTTCTTTCTGGAATAAGGGCGTGGCCCAGGCTCTGGGAACAGTGCTCAGTTGTGGCCAGGCTGGAGGGGTGGGGGCGCGGTGGTCACAGTATCCTCATGTCCACAGAGGCACATGACCCGCCACTTGGGCACTGGCCTCGGGCAGGAGGGAGGAAAGCAGCACATACACCTCACACATTTGTTTGTGGGGCCTCAGTGGTGGCCTGACCCTCCGTGGGTGTGTGAGGCCTGGGGTGGGGGGACGGCAAGGCCCACGTCGGCTTCACCCTCTTGCCCAGGCCACAGTGTGAGCTGGGTGTGGGCACCAAGCAAGGGAGAGAGGGAGTCAGGTGCCCCATCCTCCCACCTGGGGGCCCAGTGTGGCCAGCAGCTTCTCTACCGGGTACTTTGCATAAGTCACCTCTCCTGGACCCTGGGTTTTCATCCAGAATGGTGTGCCCCCTGGGGCAGGACCAGCTTGGACCCAAGATGAGGTCAGGTTAGGGCTGTGGACCCCTAATGGGGGTCCTGCATGAGCTCCCAGGGCTTGGGACCCTCGTCAGTGATGGCTTTAGACCTCTGTCACACACAGGAAGAGCCCAGGGAAATCCCAACAGCAGACCTCCCCGGCTAGGCAGGCTCCTGCCTTACAGGGCAGTAGACGCAAGATCTGCTGCTCTGGCATGGCCTCCCTCTGCACCCAACTGCTCCCGCCCATCCCGTCGGGACCAGACAGTAGGGTAGCTGCTCAGTAAAGGCCGCGCTGTCCAGGGGAGGGCTGGGCAGGGTGGCCCTGGTGTCAATCTCGCAGAAGCTGGTGGTACGTGGGTCTCCTCCTCAGCCTGTCTGACCCTAGCCCACCAGGGACCTGGTGAGCTGAACAGTATCTCCCCATTAGGAACCTCAAGATTCGACCTTGTTTGGAAATAAGCCTTTGCAGGTGTAATTAAGGTTCGAGAGGAGGTTATCCCGGATCAGGGTGTGTCCTAACCCCAAGGACAGGTGTCCTTGTAAGGGACAGAAAAGAAATCAGACCCAGAGCTGGAGACCATGTGCAGATGGGGGCAGACAGGATTATGAAGCCACAAGACAAGGAGCCACCAAAAGGCAGGTAGGGTCCTCCCCCGGAGCCATCAGAGGGCACGGCCCTGCTGACCCCTGGGTTTAGGACTTCTGGCTCCAGAACTATGAGAATAAATTTCTGTTGCTTTGAGCCATCCAGGCCGTGGGACTTCACGCGGCCCCGGTGAGCTTGCTTCCCACCCAACTTGCTGAACTCTGGCTCCAGAGAGTCAGACGTAGCTGGGACACACTCTGATGGGACCAGAAAGAAAGTCCAGACTCAGCTATTACGGAAACCTCAAAAGCCATTGCCCCCACCCCACCATGATCAATGCTGTGGGGAGCCGAAGGCCCCCTGCCCTGCAGGGTCATGGCTGCCACCACCAGTGTCCTTTGCCAAGGGCTCAGGCCGCACGTGTGCTCCACAGCTCGGGCTCGGGGGTGGCGGGAAGGCCCTCGGGGAGGAGGACAAGGTGCATCATGTCCACTGTGCAGATGAGCAGACTGAGGCAGGAGGGGACTCGCAGACAGGGAGGGGTGGTGCTAGCCCCAGAATCCTGGCTGCTGACCCCAGTAGAGCCCCTTCCTGCAGCCTCCCTGCCCTGCTGGGTCCTCTCCCCACAACCCACCTCTCCCCTACTCCCCGTCTCAGTTCACGGCTTCGCGGTTCAAAACCTGACGTGCTGACCCTCCCGCACCCAGGCCCCCTGCCATGACGCCTTCGGCCCAGAATCCAGCCAGAATCCAGCGTTGCCTTGGCCCCCTGCACCGGGAGGCCTATCCACGCACCAGTCCGCTCGCCTGCCCGGACACCCTGAGCTGGGCCAGCAGCCCCCCTGCACTGCACACGGGACCCGAGGCACACCCCCACCCCAGCCCCCCAACCCTGCCTCGCTGGTGCTGCTCCCTCCGCCTGGAGGGTGCTTCCCCACGTCTCTGCGGCTTCCTCAGACTCTTCCCACCAAGCACTAATCAGAGCTCAGGCCACGGGAGCCGTCAGGGCTTCGGCTGCCCACTATGAGCCTCCGCGTCCTCATGTGTGAAATGAGATGGTGAGACCTTCTTCCCAGGGGTGTTAGAAAACCCTGCGTCGGGACCTAAGCTACTACAGTGGCTCAAGGGCTAGCGGTCCCACCCAGGGCTCAGCACTCCTCCTCCTCCGGGGAGCCCTCGTCATGCCTTGCCTTCCTCCACCTCTCCCGGCACAGGTGGAGACCTGACTGTGCCCACAAGCTGTCTGTGAGCTCCTTGGAGGCACAGACTGTGTCACTCCTTCTTTTATCTGTCTGTCTGTCCATTCGTTTCACAATCATTTAATAACAACTGGCTGCTTATGTCTACAAGATAGTCGACCCCTTGGCCTGGCATTCAAGGCTGTCCCAGGCCGGGCTTTGCTTACTCCTTGGGCAGCCCCTGCCCGGAGCACCCGCTCCTGCCTGGGCTCTTCTCAGCGCTGGTGAGTCCTTCAAGGCTCTGCTTGGACATCACCACCCCCAGAAAGCTTCTGCTCCCTCCCCCCAGGGTCTCCCTGCTCTCACTGCCCCAGGGTACATCCTCTGCAGCCCTCATGTGGACCAGGCTTGTGCTGCGTCTTCCTCCACCTCCTCTCCTGTGCCCGGCCCAGCTAGCGCCTGGTCCACAGAAGGGACAAGGAGTGTTTGTTGAGTGAATGAGTGTGCAACTGGCTCACTGCGGTCCCTGGGGCAGAGGCAGGCAAGTCTGTCCCGCGCCTGCAGAGACCTGCAGGGCCTGGTGCCCGGAGCGCAGCCCCTGGGGCTGGGGAGCCAGACCTGGAGAGGCGTTCCGCTCGGCTGGCGCCCTATCTCGGGCCATCTTGCCGCCATGGCGGCCGCTCCTCCCAGCCCAGTATCTGGGGCCCTCATCTCCCTGAGGCGGGGCCGGGCTCGCCCTGACTTCTGCCCCAGTGTGGTCCTGCCCGGACCTCCTCCGTTACTGCCCCCACCGCGCTGCTCCACCCCGGGTGTGAGGCTGGCGGCTTCTGGGGTTTCCGCCCTTCCTCAGGCTGCTCCTGCCTCCTGGGAACATCCCTTCCTTCAGTCCTGCAGGCAGTCTGAGCCAAAGGTGGCCTCCTCCAGGAAGCTTTCCCGGTGTGCTGGTACGACCCATCTGGTACCAGGGCAGGGACACAGAACTATGGCCCAGGGGCCACCCCCACACTCAGTCCTGGTCTCAGCCTTGCCACCCGCCACTGAGAACCAGAGTCCCACCCCCAGCCTCAGTCTTCAGACCTCTGGAATGGGAACCTTAGAGCTGCTGGGAGGGTCAGACGGGTCGTCGTGCCCAGTGCCCCCCACCACACACCTCCAGGGTCCAGGCCCCCAAGCACCACCCAGGTGGGGAAGGAGAACCCAGGTGAGGCCGCAGCCGCGCCCCGCCCCCGGCCCCCCACCAACCCGGGCCGCCCGCCCTACCTTCCTGCCGGCCTCGTTGTTGTGCAGGTTCATGAGACGCCGTGCGTTCTTCTTGATCTCGCGGGCGTCCACGAAGCGCCGGGAGAAGTCGATGCCGTAGCGCACGTCGGCGGAGCACCCGCCCCACTTCCAGCCCTCGGCCTGGTTGTAGTAACCCTGCTTCTCGCGGTCACACCCGCAGTTGCTCAGGTTCCCCTGGCTGCAGGCGGCCGTGACGGCGTGCGCCACGCCAGCCGCGGTGATGGCATAGGTGAAGGCGGCCTCGCGGCTCCCTGCAGGGGGATGGCGTGCGCATGGTGAGGCCCGGTGGGGCTCGGCCCCGTCCCGCTGCTGGCCCGTGGTGCGCCCCCCGCCTCGGGGCTGGCCCTCTCTGGGCTGCCGACTTGGCTCAGGGGGCGGCAGATCCTGGGTCTCAGGCCATGGTGAGGACGGTGCCTGGGGTTCCGTGGGCACTCGGTGTGGACCCTGGCCCCGCCACCAGCAACCACTGTCATCTCTCCTGTCCCAAGAGCCCGGACTGCGTAGGGGGGGTGCATTTTCCCCAAACCTGGGAGAGATCCCTGGAAGGCCCTGCCCCCCTCCCCTCTGCCCGCCTCCAGGCGCCCCTTGTGCTGATCTCTGATCTCCGTGGTGCCCTCACCCAGCAGCCAAGAACCAGGCAGAATCCACACATCTCAGAGCACCCCAATTCCAGGCTCTGTGTTGACACCTTCCTGTCTCTGACCACTGACTGTCACCCCATCACCAGGCTCCAGCTTCCTACACCTTTCCTCTCTTCCAGCCTCCCTGCCTGGCTCCAAGGCCCCCAGAACTGCCCAGACCTTGGGATCCAGTCCTCCCCAGCTCCCTCACGCCCCAGCCACCAGCCCGGGGGCCCACAGTGCAGTTTGGGCTCCTCTGTTCTATACCTGCTTTGCTCCTCCTCTGCCTGAGCTGGGAAGGGCCCGAGGCCAGCTGGCTTCCCTGTCCCGCCTCCCCATTCTCTGCCCCAAACAACGACTCTTTCCTTCCAGTGCGTCACAAATGCTCCTGGGCATCTCCTGGTCTTTTGAAGGGAATTTCCTTCCCCTTCTCAAATCCTAATGACCTTCCAAGGCCGGGTCCAATGCCTCCTCTTCCAGGCAGCCTTTCCAGACTGCCAGCCAGCAGGGGGCCCTGGCTGACTCCTTCCCCTCAGTCCCAGATCTGGCTCCTCATTGCTCATCATGACTCTGTCCATAGCTCTGTCGCTGAGCCGCCCTGGCTCCACAGGGGCCTATGGGCTCCCCGCTGGAGGGCTTCAGCACTAATCCAGTCTTTATTCTCCATGGGCTCTGGCTGGGCCCTGGGCATCCGGACACCTTGGCCCGGGCCCTCTTGCCCATGAGCTCCAAGGCTCTCTGCGGGCCACGTGGCAGGTCTGTGTGGCCCTCAGTAGCCGGCACCATGGGCGTGGAAATCAGGGACATCCCCGTGCTTGCACAGGCCCTGTACCTGTGACCAGCACTATCCCCATTACTGCGGCGAGCGTGATCACCCCCAGGTGGAGAGGGTTGAAGTTCAAGTCATGTCCTTTCCATGAACATCCATGAAGCACCACTGACTTGCCCGCCGTGGTCGGCCTTGGGTATGTGCCCTAGGGTCTGCCTCCTCACCTACCAGCCCTCTGGGGGGGGCCTTCCCCTGGGGTTCTCCCTCTGTGGAGTTCCTGTTCCCTGGGGTTTCTCCCACCTGGACTGAGGACCAGGGTAGGACCTGCTGGTCTTGGAGGCCCAGTGTGGAGGAGGCTTTGGTTCACCTCTGCTGCCAAAGAGGGGCGATGGCTCCCTGGAAACTTCCTTCCTCTGAAAAGAGCTAAGGGAGAGTGGTGTCAGGGATCCTGGTCTGCAAAGGACACAGGGCTGCCCTGGGGGCCCTTGTTGCCCACCCCTGCCCCCACCCTGCCTGGGGTCAGTGCACGACCCCCCAGGACCTGATGACCAACAGCTTGGGTTCTGTGCCCCTGGCACCCCTCCTGTGAGAAGAAGCTCTCAGCAGAGATGCCTTTTGAGAAGCACCGAGGCCCCCGGCCGGGCACTGTCGAGGTGGGCTGGCTGGGAGCTCCCGGGCTGACCCAAGGTCAAGCCCAGGGAGAATATGGGGCCTCGCCCTCCCTGGATTCAAGTTAGGTCAAGGTGATCTGAAAGGAAGGGCATCGGGTTACCGAGCTCCCTGCTGTTGCCCAAGCCCGGAAGGGTCTGCTGACAAGCTCACCCACATGGACCCGTAAGGCACACACCGCAGGTGAGTGTGCAGTAAACTGCGTCAGGGGTTCCAGGATAGGAGGTGACCACGGAGCTCTTCGAGAAAGGCTGAGGGGTCAAAGAACCTCGAAGATGTCCCCACCTGCCTCTGTGAGGGGCAGAGTCCAGGAAGGCATCCTGGAGGAGGTGACACCTTAAGTAAAGGGAATCTTAACAAGAAGTTAGACTTAACTCCCTGCGAGTGCATAGGAGTGTGTGTGTGTGGCGTGTGAGCGTGTACGTGTATGGCGTGTGTTTCCGGAGTGTCTGTGTGGCCCGTGGCCGTGTGCAGCAGGTGTGTGTGCTCCTGGCAGGGGGCACGGCAGGAGCAAAGGTGCCAAGGTGTGAAACAGGTTGCTTATCTGGTGTTAGAAGTATGAGCTCAAGCATAGGAAGGAAAGAGGCCATCGGGATCAGGAGGAGCCAGTCATGGGCGGCCAGAGACACCCCTGAAGCACACGGTGCTTTCTGTCCTAGTGCCAGGACCAGGGCTACGGATCCCACACCATTGCTCTCACTTGCTGTCTCTCCCGGTGCACCGGGGAGAACGTCGGTTCTCCCCGAGCACTCAGACAGTCGTGGGAGGCAGCCTCATCACTGTTCCAGCCCAGGTGAGCCTGTCAAACTCGGGGTTAGTGGCCGGAGCAGGATCAGAACCCAGGCAAGTGGCATCAAAGCCCAGAGAGGCCAAGGGAGGGTGTCTCTGCAGCTCAGCGACTTCGTGCAGAAGAGAAGGGGAGAGGAGGCACCTATGGGGGACTTTGGGAAAGAGATACCGCTTTTTATGTTTTTATTTATTTTTTTTTAATTTTTTATAAACCTATAATATATTTTTATCCCCAGGGGTACAGGTCTGTGAATTGCCAGGTTTACACA